ACCATTTCAAACACTATTCCAAATGGCTCACAATTATAAAAAACTTTGCACATTTGGTTGTCTATGCTATCCATGATTACGTCCATACAACATAAATAAACTTATGCCCCGTTCTTGACAATGTATATTCTTAGGGTCGTTGTCACAAAGTGCGTACAAATGTTTTGATCCACAAAATAATCGTCTCTATATCTCGCGTCATGTTGTGTTCGGAGAAAACACATTCCCATACCAAATACTTCTCAATTCTAAAAGTGTTTTATCATCCTCTCAAAATTCACCTCTTCCACCTATTGTTTCTCTCCCGGTCTTACTGCCAAACACCGGACCACCTGCACAAGCGCCCCCTCAGAGCAGCATTCCAGCCCTGCTGCATCCTGTCGGCTTCCCAAACTTCAGATCAATCCCAACAAATGCCACCTCTTGGAAACCTACCCCATGCATCCGCATCTATTGCCCCAAATCAACATGCAACAAACACCCAAAATTTTACTTCTTCCAACTCACTCGAAACCCAACTTGTCATTGTCAACAATGACTAAACATCAGAACCCACAAATCCACCTACACAAACTCACAAAATGACCACTAGATCCCAAAATAATATTTTCAAGCTCAAACAAATCGACCACATCACCACCAAACATCCACTTCCATCGACTATAGAACCAACGGGAATTACACAAGCTATGTGCGATCCTCAATGGCGTGAAGCCATGTCAGCTGAGATCAATGCCCTTGTTTGTAACGGGACTTGGGAACTAATATCTTTTGATCCATTTTTAAATGTTGGAGGTTGCAAATGGGTTTATCGGATAAAAAGATGTGCGGGCGGTAGTATTGAGAGGTACAAAGCACGTCTTGTGGCCAAAGGTTTTCACCAACGATCGGGCCTTGATTACACCGATACATTTATCCCGATCATCAAACCAAATACTATTCGGATGGTCTTATCATTGGCTCTAATACGTGGATGGACATCGAGACAAATGGACGTCAACAATGCCTTCCTCCAAGGAACTCTCTAGGATGAGGTCTACATGTCGCAACCGCTCGATTTTAAAGACCCAAAAAAATCAACACATATTTGTGAACTTCGCAAAGCCATATACGGGTTAAAGCAGGCTTCACGGGCTTGGTACAATGAGCTAAGTTCATTCCTTCTCGCAAATTCATTTGTCAATTCAAAGAATGATAGTTCACTGTTCATTTATTATCATGGTGGCATTCAAGCCTATTTTCTAGTGTATGTAGATAATCTCATTATCACAGGAAGCGACCAGAATTTTGTTTTGGACTTCATCACCGCTCTCTCTAATTGGTTCTCAATTAAAGACTTGGGGCCACTAAATTTCTTTTTGGGAATTGAAGTCATTCCTACAAAAACCGGCTTACTTTTTTCTCAACATAAATACATAAGAGAACTACTTGAACGCTTCAAAATGGGAGACGCAAAAGAGGTAGGGACACCATTAGTCACGAATCAGTCTCTTTCGGTCCACGACAAGGAATCACCAGCTGATGCTACAAAATTTCGCAGCCTCATTAGTGCACTTCAGTACCTCAACATTACTCGCTCGGACCTTGGTTTTGTGGTAAACAAGCTATCTCAATTCATGCATAAGTCGACCACAACCCACTGGACAGTCGCAAAACGGCTCTTAAGCTATCTTAAGGGAACATTATTCCATGGGTTGCACTTGAGATGCGACACAAAACCTGTGCTTCATGCCTACACCGACGTAAATTGGGCAGGAAACATTGATGATTGCACATCTACCTCGGGTTTTGTCATTTATATTGGGGCCAATCCTATCTCCTGGAGTTCTCGGAAGCAACGATCGGTTGCACGGTTATCTACTAAAGCAGAATACCGAGCCATTGCCATGGTCTTGGCAGAACTCATTTGGGTAAAATCTTTGCTTCAAGAACTTGGCATTCACATAGACACGACACCAAGCTTGTATTGCGACAACATAGGCGCCACTTATGTTTGTGCAAATCCCGTCTTCCATTCACAAATGAAACACATTGAGATAGATTACTATTTCGTTTAGGAACTTGTTAAAGCCAGCAAGATGCGAGTCTCCCATATTTCCACCCATGATCAACTTGCCGACATTCTCACAAAACCGTTATCAAGGCCGCGGACAATACAATTACGAGACAAGATGAGCGTTTCCGATGGAACGTCCATCTTGTGGGAGCGTGTTAAGATATGAAATCTTTTTGATATCTTTGTTTTTTTGAATATCAAATTAGCTTACCAATTATAAATGAGTTGGCATTCCTTGATTTTTGCTCCGCCAAAGATTGTATTTTTTCTTCTCTTTATAAACGTGTACAATCTGTAAATGTACAGTAATGAAAATCATTCACAAACGTTGAACCTTTATATAAATAAAGTCACAATAATAGCTAAGGCAAAATTTGGAGTCCGACATTAACAAAGTACCCAAGCATAGAGATAAACTCATATTGAACATGGGGAAATTTCAAGCGGATCCTCAAGTGGACTCGATTTTGCGAATTACCCTCTAAACTTGAGTCTGTCTCGAACTGGCTCGTGTGCTCGACAAATGTGCATGAAAAAGCCAGACTGATGGAAAAAAGTCGTCGGTCATGGCACACGTGCACCGTTTCGTGCCAGTTGTGAAAGGCATTTTCTATTATAAAATAATGATTAATCTCATTTAAAGTGGTGGGGGTTGGTGCCCCTCCTGCCCTACTCTTACGAGAGCAGATGTTATTTGCTAGACATCTTAATGAGCCACAAAAGTTAGCACGACTTACACATATAAATACATATTCATACACGCACATACAATCTAATCACCTAAGCACACTAAATGTACAACATATTTATGCTTTTGTGATAAGTCAAGTTCCTTTCATGGTCGGACCAACCTGTGGTCCTAGAGAATAAAAGCTGCCTTCATTGGCCCATGATCCTAAATGCAACTTCCTGCCCCGTCCTACCCCATATCCATTTGATCTCTAATCATCTTATTAGATCTTCAAATCACGCACATTTTGGATCGGCTAATTTTACGGGTCGAATGCTGTCCTTTCGCTTAATTTCTTAAACTTTGGACTAAGATTGCTCTCTAATGCGGGACTATCCATGTTGAAAGCTTCATGCCACCGGTCCCATCCATGTTCTTCGATTCAACATATGAAAGCATCTAATCGAATCGGCCATACTGCTCATGTCTGCTCTCTAATCCCAAGGGATGGTTTTCGATGAAAAATAGGGATCTCTATCTTATTTGAACCCGAAACAAGATATGGACAAGCAATCTATATCAATGTGAGGTCGTCAGATTCGAGTCCTCTTATTCAATATGGTAATCATGAAGCTTGGTCCTATAAAGGCGGGATCAAGCGTGGCCAATATTTTGCCAAAGGGACAAGTGCATTTGAAAAATCGAAATCTTGACATTAAAGTATAATTGAGTCCTAAAACTTTTAAAAAGTGCAATCAAGTCCTAAAACTTATCAAGTTGATCCAATCAAGTTATTCTTTTGATTGCACTTTTGAAAAGTTTATGTCTCGATTGTACTTTCGTGTTAAATTTTAGGATTGGATTGCACATTTTGAAAATTCTAGGATTCGATTGCACTTTCGTGATAAGTTTTAAGACTTGATTGTACTTTTTGAAAATTTTAATACTCAATTGCGTTAGGACATTCGGTACATTTATTCCTTTTCCTAAAGCATGCTGAATATTTCTGGAGTTCTTGGCAATTTGAAGGGAAATGATAGAAAACTCTCGACAATTCCAGGTTCCAGTAAGGAGAGCAGAGGGCCTCACGGAGACATAAATTACTTGAACCTGCAAAATCTGCCCACCATTAAAGTTTTTAGGGCCTTTTCAAGTCTTCATGGACCACGGGCAAGCATTTAAATTTTGTGTACGGTCATCATCAGTAACCCTAACCGGAACGCCACTCTCCTCAACTGTCCTCATCAGTTAGATTCAACCCCCACCTTTTTTTTTCCCACAATATTTATAGAATTTATAATCAATACTGTTATGTGAAAACTTTGATAGACGTTTCGACACTCGACGTTTCTTTCGATGCGCCCAACGGCTATGATTTGTGTCATTTTGTAAATCGATTTGGTCAACCTTTGTTTTTTGTAGCCCAAGACGTCTCTTCAATAGATTATGTCATGGGCATAGTCCGTCCTAGGAAAAAAAACGTGTAACATTGAGCTAAGCGTGCAGTCTCGGACTGCATAATTAATATAATCGAACTTTCCATCCTGAGCTAATATCATGTTATAAGCAATGTTGGGTGATTCGAGATTAGAATTTTTCTCATGATTTGGTGGTTTGATAGAAGGATATGCCAAATTTTGTAACTGTGGTGGGCTTCTAGCATAGTCCGATGGTCGCATGTCCATATACTTTTGCCTACCTAGGTCGATGTCTTTCTTGCTTTATAGTAGTACGTTAGCGTGCATAGCTTTGACTAATTTTCGATTTGGGATTACTTTAGTACCATAAAATACAGTTAATTTGGCCATGTTGTGCCGCTATGCTCTCATCCATGACCTAATGCCTCCCCAACTAAAAAAAGAACAATCTTGAAACATGGACTCGCTACATATTTAACATTTTCAACGATCTTGAAACAAGCACCCAGCAAATAATATAACATTAGCTGCGGCTGAAATTAAGTACGTGGTTTGCCGCAAACCAAATCCTTTCGATCACCATATTTTATATGGTCTTATCAAGGGTTGCCTCCAAAAACACTTCTTAATTATATTTATCAAGAAAATCAAAGAAAGATCGTATCTTAAAAATTACCGATTTTCTTTAAATGGGTATTTAGTCGGTGCTCTTGAAAGCTCGTCAATAAAAACCCATTTTATAAAAAGAAAGGATCGCTCCATTTATGAGTTCTCTCTTACAAAGCTCATGGCGTCTTAGTCAACTTTTATTTTTATTTTTATTTTTATTTTTTGCATATAAATGAGGGTGCAAGTCAAGTGAACAACAAACTCCACCAACACTTGCAAACGAATAACCTCAAAATAATCCGCAAATTGCTATGAGCCAAGAAAGTACTGAGAAAGACTAGGGCCTCTCCTCATTCAAACTCCAAACCCTATCGTCTTGCGCTCGCCATTTCTTTATACCATCACCAGCTTCGTTTTCGGATCTTGAATTTCAACAATTTCCTAGTCCTGCCCCGGGAAGTAGAGAGGAATGAAGCAAAGCCAAGAGGCCCGTCAGCGCAAAACAATGCCGAGCAACATCCACCACCATGAACAGCCTCCTCAGAAGTCACTCCAGATCAAGCAAGAAGACAAGTTCTTCTCCAAGCTCCTGTCAAAAGAGAGCTCGAGGGTGAACTCGTCTTCAAGAGTGCTCTACTATGGAGGAGCCCCGCGTGCGGTGCCGTTCCAGTGGGAGTCGCAGCCTGGGACCCCGATTCGCGACTTCGCGTCGTCGGACGCCGGCTCGTCCTTCCCTCCTCTCACGCCGCCTCCCTCGTATTACTCGAAGTTGAAGTCGAGGAGGTTCATGCAGAGCAAGAACAAAGACGGTCATTCCAAGCCCAAGAATGTTTCATCGAAGAGCAACATATTTCCGAAAATCAATCCCAACACGAAGAAGCCGCACCACGTGTCGCAGTCGTCGTCGGGATCATCCACGTCTTCCTCATCCGCGTGGTCAACGACATCATTTTCTTCGCCATCAGTGGCCTCAGCTTCTTCGACGGAGTCCAAGCTTAACAGGCGAGACTCGTCTTGCGCTAGGTCCTCTCCAGTGCATTTCAGGTTGGAGGACGCGAACAACAACGACAATGAAGAAGAAGAAGAAGAAGAAGATGAAGAAGATATGTTCGAATTGCCTGTTTCGAAGTTGAGATTAGGTGCGAGAAGAACGTTTCTACTGAAGCTCCGAAGTTGCTATCCAGTGACTAACATAAAGAGTACCTTCCTCTCCATTATTGGACATGGTTCAGGTCAAGGCGGTGTATAGAGCCAAAGATTTTCGTTTTTTTTTAGTCATTTATCAAGGTTCTGGTTCATCTTGCAGCCATGTATTGGATGATTGAAACCGCTTGTTTCGCGCTGTATTCCCTTTTCTTGTTTGATCTTCGACATAATGGGCTTCTTCGATGTCGAGTTTCATGTGCTGCACAGTCCATTGGAATTGGAGTTAGATTTCCGTTTCTTTTTGTTTTAAATAAAGAATCGATCATTATTATAATGGTCATTATTTTTGCGTTCTTTATGACATAATTTGATGGGCGAGCTTGGTCAAGTCACTCTCTCCTTTAACCCTCCAGTTACCTCAATTCACGTGCACATGACCCCACTAATGACTTAAAAGGCCCAATACGGATTAGGTAGATTTTGGACAAGATTGTTAATAGCATTGTTGGTCTAGGTCCAACCCTATCATGACCCCACGACATAAAGGCCCAATTTATACACATTTATATGATCTGTCAATCATGTTTAAAATCAAGTAAAGAGGGAATGCAATCCGTTTTTGGCCCAATGAAGAAGCTTTCACGCCATCAAAAGCCAGCAGCACATCAAAGACCCATCAAGGGGGAAACATATTAACATCGTTTACATAGTATAGTGCTCAAAGAAGATGGTGGGTTGAGGGCACATCTCCTTGTAGGTGTGACAAGCCACGCGATAAGCATATTCGTTGGCTTCTCGACGGACATGAACCACCTTAAAGAAGTCAAAAGAGGACGCTTCCAAGGTTAATCTTCTCGAAAATCGGCAGACACAGGCAGTCCCATCGACCATTATCATGTTCCACACCACTTGTGACAAGTTTAGCATCAGTTTCCCCAGCTACTTCCTTTCAATGCATCTGCTGAGCAAGTCTAACCCTCTCTAAAGCAGCAAAACTCTCACCCACCTCCGCCACCAGTGAGTCTCCCCTAGTGATGAGCCACAACTCCCATACCAGCATGTAGTGCTGCACCATTACCGTTAAGCATCGCAGGTGATCTTGATTTCTCCGCGGTCTGGTGGTTCCCAATCAAAGAATTCCATCTCATTTCCAGATTCCTCCTCATCAACTGCTGACACACCAAATTTACAATTCTTTAGCCCTTATACACGCCTAAAGCTGCAAAAGTCCTTCGAACTGCTTCCTGAAGAACAGGACTTTCCAAGTTAAATACAGCTAGACATCTCATTTTCTATACAGAAGCTACTCAGGTCTGCCGCCATTCTTGAGATCATTTATCACCCCTTCAGGAGGTCTAAAGTTCTCTGATCGATTTGAAGGTAGATATTTGCCTCCACAAACCTCGTACCCAAACAGCAAACCAAACACACTTGGTTCACTCACAAAGTAGCAAGAACTGTTCAGTGGGGTCTTCCTGATTACGGAAAGAGCATTCAGCACTAAACTTTACTCTTGTCCTGAACAAGTTGACATTAGTGAACACAACGGTAACACACATCTTCTAGAGGAGGTGCCTCTATTTGGGTGGGCAACCAATGTTCCAGGTAAACTGATTTATAGATGATGTGCGAGCTCAAAGTCCTCTAAAGAATGATGTTCCTCAACTGACTTGATCACCTGATAAGCAGACTTAACAGTTGTTTTCCCACTCTTCTCAGCAGGCCAAACCAGTCTGTCTCCTTCTCCAAACAAAGGCAATGGGATGTCAAGGATGGTTCTCTTCTCAGCAACGCTTATCATGTCTTCGGTAGGAGTCAAATTCCAATTCCTAGTATCTTGGTCAATGAAAGACGTTGACCCTCAACTCTTCATCAACCTCTGCATAGTCTCGTCATCAATTTATTACCGACCACCCCTGGGTTCCATTTGTCTTTCCACACCTCGATGTCTTCGCCAATGACGACCTGCCATAAAGCATGTTACTTCAGTTTTTGTTTCCTTTCCACTATGCTAGACCACCTCCATGAGGCTCTAGCACCCTTTCTAACATTGAAAAAGTGTGAGAATACAGGGCAGGGTCTCTTAAGCCTGATGTTTGATACTCCTACTGTCCACAGCTTGGTAAGAAAACACGACAAATAATTGAAGGCCATGAAAATGGCACGCCCAGGATCACCATAATTAGAAACCGAAATACGATAATGGAGAAATTGTAGATTCGCGTACCTGGTTTGGAATCCATCGAACTTGACGCGGAATTTGCGACGGTTTCCGAACACGAACTCAAATGCTTCTCCCCTATCCCTTCGTTAGAACACTGGCTTAATGAGATTGCCACTCACGAGAAGAAAGTTCTCTCTAAATCCGTATGTGAGTCAAATTGTGCATCATCAGGTTAGGGGAGGGACTTGAGCGCTATTTATAGAGTCTTCGACCACGGGCCCTCTCATTATGGGCCGGGCCGGGCCGTACTCGGCCCACACCAGCCAGCCCCATATTAGACTTATTAAGAACCCATATATCTTACCTTTATTAGACCAAACTAATTCAGTTAATTTCAATTAATGAAGCCCACATTAGGAAATTCTTACATTCTCCCACTTGGGCGATATTAATTGAAACACAACTGTGTGCGCACCCTTATATTGGTCTAGAGATTATTCTTAATAGTCAATCCGATCCCATAAAGTCTCGAACACCGAATCATGGCGGTAACTGCATGTACTCACGCAGAGCCTTCCATGGTCACGAGTGCTTTTAACTTTACTGATATGGATTCAATATGGTAGTGTGTCAAATGGACAATACCTCATAATGAGTGATACTTTATGTATTATCCACTTTGTTAGTCCAAATTCTCTCTCCTTAAGTGTCACAAAACCTAATGTGTCACCAGAGAATATCCTTCATGGTTCCAACGAACCTTCATATGTCTTATCTTGATAGTTAACTGTACTTTATGTGTAACAAGACATATCGTTAAGGCTAATACTAAGAATGCCCCATAGCCTGTACTCAAGGTTTACACAATGCCTAGAGATTTTCATCAAATATGTATACTCAACTTGATAAATCTAAATTCACAAATACCTCATTGAATGCAAAAGAGTTGATACATATTCAAATATTACAAAATGTAACAAAATCAGATACAAACTTCATAAGAGCAACATAAAACTAAACAGCTCCCACTAATTAACAGTATCCCATGATACTCCTAAGCCCATGTTAATGACATGTCGATCAAATACACAAGGGCGAAGGCCTTTAGTTAGCGGATCTGCAATCATATCATCTGTTGAAATGTGCTCTACTGCAATGTCCCCATCCTGAACTTTTTCCTTTATAGTCAGGTACTTGACCTCCATATGCTTAGATCCCTTGAGACCTCTGTTGTTGTTAACAAACAACACTGCAGAGTTATTGTCACAATACAACTGTATGGGCCTATCCACAAAATCAAATACGGTCAACTCCTTAATGAGGTTCCGGAGCCAAATTGCCTGAGTAGCGGCCGAAAAGCATGCTACAAACTCCGCTTGCATGATAGAGGATGTCATTGATTTCTGTTTCTCACTTTTCCATGATATTGCACCTCCTGCTAACTTGAAGATGTAACCTGTTGTCGACTTCTTTTCATCCTGACAGCCAGCAAAGTCTGAATCCGAATACCCAACTAGCTGTAGGTCCTGAACATGTTTGTAAATCAGCATATAATCTTTTGTCCTCTTTAAGTACCTCAAAATCTTCTTGGTAGCAACCCAATGATCGTGTCCTGGATTTGACTAATATCTGCCTAGAAGTCCTGTTGCAAAAGCAATATCTGGTCTAGTACATACTTGAGCATACATAATACTCCCAAGTGCACTAGCATAAGGTACATTCTTCATTTGGGCTTTCTCAAAATCTGAATGAGGACATTGTGACAGACTCAACTTATCACCCTTACTGATAGGAGCAATTCCTGGCTTGCATTGCTACATGTTGAATCTTTCTAAGATACGATCAACATATGCCCTCTGAGATAAACCCAATAGTCGGCGAGAACGATTCCTATGAATCTCAATGCCAAGGACAAAAGACGCCTCACCAAGGTCTTTCATATCAAAGTTCTTTGACAACATCCGCTTTGTCTCATGCAGTAAACCAAGGTCACCGCTGCAAGCGTAATATCATCAACATAGAGTATAAGGAAAATGAATTTCCTCCCACCGACCTTGCAAGATATACACCGATCTACTTTGTTCTCAACAAAACCAAATGAAGCGACAACACTATGAAACTTCAAGTACCATTGTCTAGAAGCTTGCTTGAGACCATAAATAGACTTTTTCAGTCTACATACAAGCGTACCTGAATCATCTGCCGCAAAACCTTCGGGCTGCATCATATAGACTTCTTTATTAAGGTCTCCATTGAGAAAGGCAGTTTTAACATCCATCTGGTGTAACTCCATATCGAAATGAGCTACCAATGCCATGATTACTCTGAAAGAATCTTTCGAAGAGACCGGAGAAAAAGTTGCTTCATAGTCTACTCCTTCTCTCTGAGTGAAACCCTTGGCTACCAGTCTGGCTTTAAACTTCTCAATCTTTCCTTTGGAGTCCCTTTTAGTCTTATACACCCATTTGTAGCCAATGGGTCTATGACCTTCAGGTAATTCAACAAGTTCCCAAACTCCATTATGCTTCATAGACTGCATTTCATCTCTCATTGCATCCGATCACAGTTCCGACTGAGGACAAGAAACAGCTTCCGTATAAGTCACTGGATCAGCTACAGAACCAATATCGTAGTCTTGCTCTCCTATATAGACTAAATAGTCTGGTGGTATAGCTGATCGTCTCTCCCTAATGGATCTCCTTACTGGAACAACAACAGCCTCATCCTGCACCTGAGAGCCTTGAGGAACTTCATTAGGAGCTGTCTTCACAACAGGATCCTGAGCCTCAACAGGTTCAGTCTGTGGTGTGGGAGTCTCCACAATTATCTGTATGGGAGGAAATAAAGATACAATATTACCCACCGTACTATTATCTTTAATAGTCTGTGAGCAGCTACTTTCTTCGGCCACATCAAACTCCGTAAACTTGGTGTCATGCGGATTCCACAATTCTTGTGCCTCCATTGGGATTATAGAACCGATATCCCTTCGAATGATCAGGGTAAGATACAAAGTAACACCGAGTGGTTCTGGAGTCCAACTTACTTAATGTTGGATTGTATAACTTCACTTCTGCAGGACATCCCCAAACCTTAAGATGGTTTAAGCTAGGCTTACGTCCAGTCCATAACTCAAAAGGAGTCAATGGAACAGCTTTAGTAGGTACACGATTCAGAATGTACAAAGCTGTTTTCAAAGCTTCACCCCACAGAAAAACAGGTAAATTCGTCCTACTTATCATACTCCTCACCATTTCCATAAGGGTGCGATTGCGCCTTTCGGCTACACCATTTTGCTCAGGACTTCCAGGCATAGTAAACTGAGCCACTATCCCAGAATCCTCTAAGTATTTGGCAAATGGCCCCTTAAGCTCGTCCCGGCATCGCCATGTTTGCCATAATACTCTCCACCTCGGTCGATCTAACAACCTTTATGACATTTCCCAACCTGTTTCTCGACTTCAGTCCGAAAAATCTTGAACTTGTCAAGAGACTCAAACTTTTCTTTAATCAAGTACAGATAGCCATATCGAGAATAGTCATCAATAAATGTAATGAAATAAAAATTTCTACATAAGGTTGCCGTATAGGGTCCACTTATATCAGTGTGAACGACCTCTAATAGGTCAGAACTTCGGACTGCAGTTTTCTTCCTTATCTTGGTCATTTTACCTCTACAACAGTCTACGCATATCTCTAGGTCATCTTTAAGAGCAGGCACGATGTTAGTCTTTATCAGCCTTTCTAATCTATCCTTAGAGATATGACCAAGCCTTTTATGCCATAATGCATAAGACTGTTCCTTAGGTAGTGGTCTTTTGGAAACAACCTTTTCAGCCGTATAAGCGACGTATATGTCATTGGGAGACAAACACAATCTGTACAATCCGTTGGACATATAACAGCACCCAACCTTATTTGAATTAAGAAACAAAGAAATAACATTGTTCTTGATTTCAAAAGAGTAGCCATACATGTCCAAACACGATACGGAAACTAAGTTCCGTCTAAAAGAAGGTACATAAAAAGTGTCTTTCAACATTAATCTAAAACCAGAGTCTAGAATCAAGATTACATCTCCCACAAACACAACATCAGCTTTCTCGTTATTTCCCACAGTGAGTCTTGACTCATCCTGATTTGGCTTCCTCCGGTTTATGAATCCCTGTATGGTAAACGTAACATGATTAGTTGCACCGCTATCGAGCCACCAAGAATTGGATGGTGCTTCTGATAGGTTGGATTCACAAACAAGTGCCAAAGAATCATTACCTGTAGGCTCACGTTTGGACAACCAAGCTTTAAACTTTCCACAGTCCTTCTTTATGTGACATTTCTTCTTACAAAAGAAGCAGCGGTCACCATCCCTTTTAAAGGATGTTTTCTTTGGACCCATATTGTCAGATTGACCGGTAGTGTCATGAGTACCTTTATGAGTACGATTTCTGAACTTCTTATCCTTCTTTTTGTGGGAACTAGAAACATATAAGGCTAGATGCCCTTTTTCCTTCTTAAGTTTCTCTTCCTCTGCCACCACCCTTGCTATCAAGTCATTCACTGACCAAGTCTCATCTTGGGAATTGTAATTTGTCTTTATAATCCCAAAATCAGGTGGAAGGGTGTTCAGGGCTTGATGCACAATACAGGCATCAGGAATGGAAACATTAAGAGCTTGAAGCTTCGTCTTTAGGTCTACCATCCTAAGGACATAATCTCTAACCCCAGCAGTACCATCATACTTCATATTGAAGAGCTTTTGAAGAAGTGTACCAACCTCAGCATTAGATGAAATGCGGTTTCTAGCCTCTAAGGCTGTCATCATTTCCTTAGCAGTACAGTCAGATGGCAAACCACTTTTTAAGTGTTCTTGAATGGATTTCTTCATTGTCAATAAGCAAATCCGATTGCTCTTTTCCCAGGCAGCATAGTCCGTTTTCTCAGCTTCAGTACTGGTGGCCATGATATCTGCCGGCTTATCCTTTGTAAGAGCAATGTGAACATCCGCTAGCTCCATTCCAAATAGAAAATCCTCTTTCCATTTCTTAAAGTTCAAACCAGTAAGGACCTCAATGGAAATGGAATTGCCGTTTACAGAAAAGGTGACTGGAAAACAAACAAACAATACAATCAGCATCATGTGAGTACTTATACAGAGAGTTACATACATCATCACATAATCACCTTTGGGCAGAAAATATGACATGCAGTTGTACACTCTCCACATGACAGCGGCCATGAGAACTTATTCTAATCTTTTATGAAATCACCACCTTTGGGTGTATGAACCACTAAGATCAGTCATTTCTCAAGCACATGCTATACATGTACCCCTCCATAAACTAATACAAGATCACCTCCTTTGGGAGTATAATCACGTAATAGATTAGGAGACATCCCACCATAATATGAGACCGATATTTCTCAAACCCAGTCAAGTGTGCCACTTTGGCGGTCACAACCCAACTGAATCCTTGAAAATCTCTCATATCAGGGATATGAGCTTTATGTATCACATTTACTATATGCATGTAATGCTAGACGTAAAGACAGGGGCGTATGTCTCTGAAATTACATGCCATGCTAATTATATTGTTCCATTCATTGATAGACAATGAATTACACCCTACACAGTCCTTATGTGGTGATATACATGTGAGCTATCATATGTATTTTCGAAACCAAAGAGAAATACAAGAAAATACGCAAAATACCCTAAAATACGCGTATATAGGGTTGTATACGTATTTTCACATCTCTAAAAGCTTCAAACATATAAAATAAATACACCACAATGTAGAGCATCTCAATACGAGCGCGTCGGTACCAAGATCGTCCAAAACGGACATCGGACGCGCCCGCACGCGTCGCCGGAAGGCGTGGCGCGTGTTCAGCCGGTCAAACCGGTCTGAACAGCCGGTCCGACCGGTTGACCGGTCCAACTGGTCAACGGTCAACTGACCGGTCCGACCGGTTGACCGGTCGGGTCAACCTTCGGGTCGGGTCAACGGTCGGGTCGGGTCAGGATCCGGGTCAAGCTGGATCCGCGCCTCACGACGTCATACTGACGTCAGCATGCGGTTGCCGGCGGAAAGACGCGCCGGTTTGGCATGGCCGCGCGTGTCCTTCACGCGCCGCCGCGCCTATGGCGCGTGTAGGTGCGTGACGGCGCGTCCGTCCTCTTCCGGCGACGATCCGCCCACCATTCTTCTCGTCTCGACGAGTAGATTCCAAATATATAATAAAATTTAACTTTTATCCGACAAAAAATTTCGAAACTGGGCAAAAATCTCTCGGACAAAACTAAAACGGTCCTAATCCGTATGTTTCAGTTCTAATCTATGGCAGGCTCTGATACCAAATGAAGGCCACGAAAATAGCACGCCCAGGATCACCATAATTAGAAACCGAAACACGATAATGGAGAAATTGTAGATTCGCGTACCTGGTTTGGAATCCATCGAACTTGACGCGGAATTTGCGACGGTTTCCGAACACGAACTCAAATGCTTCTCCCCTATCCCTTCGTTAGAACACTGGCCTAATGAGATTGCCACTCACGAGAAGAAAGTTCTCTCTAAATCCGTATGTGAGTCAAATTGTGCATCATCAGGTTAGGGGAGGGACTTGAGCGCTATTTATAGAGTCTTCCACCACGGGCCCTCTCATTACGGGCCGGGTCGTACTCGCCCACACCAAACAGCCCATATTAGACTTATTAAGAACCCATATATCTTACCTTTATTAGACCAAACTAATTCAGTTAATTTCAATTAATGAAGCCCACATTAGGAAATTCTTACAATAATCAGATATAAGAATGAAGAGATAAAGGGATAAAGGATCGCCCTGCCTTATGCCTCTAGAAAGATGAATAATACTAGTTTCCTAGCCATTTATAACAGTTCTATAGCTTACGGATCTAAACAAGACATAATCCAGTCGATCCATTTAGAACAAAACTTTAATCTCCTAAGAAACTCTTCTAAGTTATCTCATTCCACCTTATGATAAGCTCTGCTCATATCAATTTTGAGTGCACAGAGCTACTAAGAACCTGTTTTCTTGATCGGCTTGCCTCACGAGCAATGGAAACGTTTTCCTGAATTCGCCTACCATTTAAATTTTGATTTGGATATATAAGAGAAGGCATCAAGGTTTTCTTCAATCCATTAACGAAGACTTTAGAGATAATTATGCATATAAAATTACAGAGGTGTTGAAGCAGTGATAGACGAAAACAGGGTGTTGAAGCAGGAAAACTTGTTATAAAGCATTACCAGAAGTAACGATGACGAAGAGACTGATATGGGAAAGAAAACAAGAAAGGAAAAGACGGAAAGATTGAGAAAGGATCAAGAAGCGCAATGGAAATGATGGTGAGAATGGCGACTGATACTGTTGGTGATATACTTGCCAAAGCAATCATGCATGCTCAATTATCTATTAGCTTAGATAGGTTCGATTGGGAAAATTGTTCCGGAATAGAGAATGTTGACCATACACGCGACCTCTCGGTCTAGATAGAGATCATCTCTTCAGTGGTCCAACTCCATTTAGAGAATAAGGCTATTAACGATCGAATTATTCATGGAAATTATATTTGGTTTATCATAATTTTAGAGATTCAAAAAGGGGAAGGACTTGCTTACTCTCCTCTGCTTTTATTGATACTCGTGTCCAAGTGTCCAATGCTTAGTATTCATTTTTAAAGTTAATTATTAACTTATAATCATCACGGCAATACGTTTCTAGAAGATTTACTTTGATATACATTCGTAACTACACGAACACAAGAAAAAAAGCTTTCAAAAACCCAAATCCTTATCTCCTTTGGTTAGATGGCCATTAGAAGATGAGAATATGGTTAACGTTGTTTATCAAGATTAAGAAACTTTGATGACAACATAGACAACAGTTATTATAATCTACGTTATTTATTTCTTCTTCTTCAAGAAGGAACAAGTACTGGTAAGAAAAACATGGACACGGATGGAAGTGGAAGCTCAAACACAACCACAACATGTGCAGCTTGCAAGCTTTTGAAGAGGAGGTGTGCCCAAATTTGCCCCTTTTCTCCATATTTCTCACCCCAAGAAACCCTCAAGTTCAAATTAGTTCATGCAGTTTTTGGTGCTAGCAACTTCTCCAATATCCTCATGGTAAACCCTATTTCCCCCTTCCTTGTATATTATCATCCTCTAAATTTCTATGTAAGACCTAGGGTTTGCTCCTAGATATGATTTTGATGTGCAATGTGATGACATATTCCGTTATATATATATATATATATATATATATATATATATATATATTGTTGTATGTGTCGATAGGAGTCATGTTTATGGAAAGTACAGTTTCTTTTGTGCATTCGAAGTAATTATAAAGGTTGAACGGATGTTGTATATTAAAATCCACATCTTTAAACTGATGGCTTTATGGCTCGTGGGAGAAGCACATTGAGCATGACCCGTCTGCCATGCACCACGAAATAACATTGTTCTTCTTTTCTAGTACCGCGTGTGAAATTGAGTCCGACGCTTGAAGACAAAACCCTTGACAAATATGTGCTTTAATACAAACAAACGGAGAATTTGTTTCATGCTAATGATTAACTCGAGTTTACAACGTATTTGAATGCTTGCACAATGGTGGGAGTGGATTCAGGAGATACCAGAGAGCCAAAGAGCTGAAGCTGCAGACAGTCTTGTATATGAAGCAAGTTTGAGGGTAAGAGATCCTGTTCATGGAAGCATGGGCGTGATCTGTGCTTTGCAACGCCAAATTCATAGTGTACAGGCCGAGCTCAATGCAGTTAGAGCACAAATATTAAAGTATAGGGATCAAGCAGACGTTGTCCCTCCTCCTAATGATGGCTTGCCTTAGCCTATCCACGCTGCTTCAACGATCGCAGTGACACTAATGTCGCCATCAGCGCTGCCTCATCTCCATCCAAGCTCGCCGTCCTCCTTCTCCTCCTCCTCCTCTTCCATGCTCTCACGGCCAAGCCTTCCTTCAGAAAAATAGCATCCATTGATGTTCCTGGTGGAAACATATATATCCTATATTTTCGGAAAGTTTCTAGGACAATAGAAGGCCTTTTCTTTATTTGCCCTTTTGGGTGAGCACGAATATTTGTGGGTTTAGCTTGAGATATCTATAGCCAGCTTAGTTAAGTTTCATTCTCCTTCGTATTTTTCCTCCTGTATTTGTTTTCTTATTTAGGTATCAGTCCTCCTTTATGTGCTTTTCAATTATGCAGTCATATAATGAAACGTGAAATTTGAAAAAACAGAACCTTACTCACATTCTACCAAATGATTAAATGTCGATGCATCATCAAAAATACGTTTAAAACTCCAAAAAGGAAGAACAATTTTAGAGGACTTGGAGTCTCGGATGCTGATTAACTAGAGAATAAGTGCAGGCATGCATATGCTAACTAATTGCCACCATTTTTATTTGTGAACGACGATAACTACAAACAATCAAACTTGAAGTGGCGAGACATAAGGGCGCATTAGATAAGAGTACATAAAACAGTATATAAAAGATGAAGTCGTATAGTGAGCCAATCTTTTGTTTTTTATTTATTTATGATATTGTGATATAAGGTCCTGCATTTGAATCGTCAAAGTCCCTCTTTCATCTTTTTATTATTGTTAAGTACGATCCCGCATCGCTATAGCTGACCAAGTCAAGCGCCTGTAAAGCGGAAAAAACAGGGCCGGAACTTGAATATAATACCAGGATTTGAACCGTTGAGTTTGAGCGGGGAGTGTCGGGATTTGATTCTTGAGTTGTGGTCACAGAGACCGGTAAATACCTCAACGAAAATCACATTATACGCCGCACTATTGAAACAAATTGCGTGCAGCTTGCGAATATTTTTTCCGATCATAGCACCAGTAAGAGTATGAGTTTTAGTGTTCCAATCTCCCACAAAGAAGAAAGGCTTACACTCTGAACTTATGATCTATGTCATCTCATTGAATCAGTGGTTGTAGGAAAATTTCTTGGGGGTCGACCTTAGTGAAAGTGATGTGACAAATTCGATCGACCCGAGTGAAGAACACCCAATGATTTAAATTTTGCCTTTACTTTGAGGAAGTAATGGGACACATACCATAGCGTTGTATAAGAGGAAACATGTGAGTATTATTTAGTACATGTAGCCTCATTCAAGCTCTTACAACATGGAAAACCAACTTACTCGGTTCTCTAAAATGCATGGTCACTGCAAAGTCCATGAGACCCCCAAACCAAAAATCTCCAAATGCATTCCCTAATACTATACTAGAATCATAAGCGACAAGCAAATTTTATTCCCAGAAAATGAAGATAATTATAGCCTTAGTTGATCTTCCTACAATTCTTCCTGATTTCACCATTTGATCCGGTGAGGGGCTTGATGTCCCCCATCTTGATCATGGCCGCGGTGAAGTCAGAGCTGAAGGTGCTAGGGCTGCTGGCATAAGTCCTCACGAGTGAGTCGGTGGAACCGCCATTGAAGAGCTGCTGGTCAGAGTGAAGCAAGCCCCTGTTCTGGAGGAGGTTCTTGTGGTAATTGTTGTCGAACGCGGTGGGCGTCTGCAAGTCGAGAGGGGCCAGATTGTTGTCCCCTGAGCCAGCTGTCCTCGGGCAGTTGGCCTTTCTTGTCTGGGCAAAGGAAGGGTCCAGGTTGGTCTCATTGTAGATCCTGGCTCTGAAGTTTGTGCACCTTGCTTGTCCTATTGTATGTGAACCTGTTTTTACGAATTTGGTGATTTAGTTTTTTTTTTCGCCAAGCACAATCAAAGAAAAGAAGATGTGTTTATGAGTGTACATACCAGATAAAGCCACCATGTCTCTAGTCGAGAGGCCAACATTTTGGAAGAAAGAGATGAGGTTGTTGAGGTTTGAGGTTGGAGGAGGAATGCCATTGTTAGCAGCTGCTCGGCTTGCGGTTCTTGCATCTCTCCTCCCGAGTTTCACATTCCAGCTTGGCCCTCCAAGCTGCAAATTTTGACACAATCGTAGTTAGATTCTAGAATATACATTGGCTATGGCAAATTCGTGATCAGTACTTGTATTTAGTAGTGATTTTTTGTAGGGAGGGGAGGGCTTACGATGACGACAGAGTCTCGAGCAGTGATGGCCAACAAGTCGGCGCAGGAAACAACGCCAGGGCACACGTTCTCCACAGCAGACTTGATGTTGTCTACGACATCGAATCCTCTGACGGAGTTTTGGTTTGGAGCCGCGGTCTTTTCTCCGGTGAATGTCGATGTGTCATCGAGAAGAATTGATCCGTCGCAGCCCTGTGGCAATAGCCGCAAGAGGGGGAAAAATGAATTTCTAGGATACGTATGAAGACAATCGAAAGATAGATAAGTCAATTCAAAAGTCAATTTATTAAAAAAGGTAGCCTTGTTGGTCAGTCGATTAATCAGACGGTGATCTTTGTTGGTAGGATTCTTTCACAGTTCACACCTTAGTTCAACAACACTACAGCTTCATGAGCTGACTAGTTTTCCAATCTTTCTTGATATAGGAAGGACCCGCTTGAACTGAACTTTTTTTTCTCCGGGCAATCGAAAATTTGGACTTGGGTTGCTATTCAAACAAGTAACAAGCTTTCCTAATTATGAGCCGAAGAAAAAATCGACAAGAGGCTTGTTTCCATTCCTGCTAAAAATGCGTCCAACTAAAGAAGTTGACTGTTCTTCGCACTTCGATTGATCCAAAGACGCATGCTTTAAGACGTCAAAGAGTATGGATGTGTTAGAGTCGAGTTGTGCTAAACCTGGTGTGAATCTACCACCGTCGTGATAAGGAAAAGTCTGGACTGATCGCGTAGTTTTCATGGATCATATGGAAATGACATTAGCTTGGCTTATCAGAAAATTACATGATTTCCAAACAAACGCAGTCGTTTCCAGCGCCGTGCACAAACTTCCCGAAAGAGACGAGCATGTGATTTCATTTGAACCACAAAAGCAAACGATTGAAGCAAATGCATCTTACCTGACTAGGACATGAAAGAGGTAACTATAGGAAAGAGACTATCAAGATGTAGTGGGACAACTGCGTGGAATGCATATAACACGTGCATACTTGGTAAGCAAGACCAAGACTTGATACTACTGCTTGTGGTTACTTAACATGGTTTCTTTATGTAGGAACGTGGTTCCCAAAACTTTATCTAGAGGTTGCACATTGGCGACGACGCTTAAGACCCAAGAGCTAAACTCTAAGGACCGAGGCTAATCAGTGGACACGCGAAACACTTAGGCAACGTATAGATCCCCTGCGAGTAATCGGCTGCATTTTAAAAATGGGAAAGAACAGAGATTTATAGTATAGTTCTTTAGATGAAAAACAATCAAGAAGAATGCTTATGGTTGATGTACATTAACAAAGCAATCGTGGAAGAACAGGCGGAGGAGAGAGGCGCCCATCCGGGCCTCCTTGTTGATGGCCGATTGCACTTGGGATTTGATGGTGGCGTAGACGTTGGGACACGTTTTCGAGTAAAAATTGGTGGAGAGTTGAGCATCGGACCTCCCCATGAGGAGGAGCAAGATGCAAGACAAAGTCAAGATGGCCACAGAACATAATGATGGTGAAGAAAACGCCATTGGCAATGTCACAAGACTAGGTAGAGAACTGACCGATTTTGCGTGGAAGACGGTGTGCGCATCGGGGTTTATATAGTAGAGGCTCCAGATATGGAATGGGGTCGGCAGGTCACCTAACACGTAGACTCTCTTACGAGTGCATGGCCGGCCATCTTTGTGCTTCTAAAAAGTGTTAGAAAAATGTGAACAAAATGACAAGCCGAAGACATGGAATGGAAGTGTGTTGAGACACGGTTTTCTTTGATAACGAGGGTCAATTCGAGAGATTAAATGTTGGGAAGACTTTGAGGGAGGGAGAGGAAGATGATGGAGATGGGTTGGATTCGGATTTGTCAAAAGGAGGTGGCTACAAGTTTGGTGGGTGAAAATGTCAAAGATAAACCGGCACGGGTACGCATCAAGCGTTGTGTCTCCCTCTTTTATGTATATATAAAGCTAGAGCTAGACAGACCCATAAGACTGTCGTTTAATTAGAAAGGCAAACTTGACTTTTCCCTCCTCATCGAGAAGCACAGGTTTCCCATCTGACAAGACCATGGCTGCTATGCATAAGTGGACCCCCATCAATGGAGGAGTTCTCGATGATCGTTACTGTATTAAGAAGCGTTTAAACGGTTGTTAGAAGAGTTTTTTTTACTAACGACACACACCCGTTAATGAAGAGACATGGTGAGATGCGATCGGATGTTTGGACCAATTAGACCCGTACACTATTGATGAACTTCTTCGAATGGCTAATGTAATCTCGACATTGTCCTTTTTCTTGATACCATTAGGGCCCCCACGATTTCATTGTTCTTACGAGAGTGTTATGGCTCTTCTTATGTACCGACAATGATAATGTCATTGGTTCCCCGCAGAAACAAGTACAAAAGCCAAACGAAACAAAAACAAAAGAGAGAGAAGGAAATATAAAGTTGGTGCATGTCTGAATCTGAACAAGTATGAGTTGATGGCCATAGCCTCGTCCCCGCGGCTGACTAATTCAAACTCTGTAACGATATCTTTGTCTGTAGGCTTTCTTTTTTCTTTGTCGTTGTTTGTTCGCGGGGGTGTGTGTTAGGCAGGCGCTACGTGCACCCCTTGACCTGCGAGAAGTCTTCATTGAGTTACGATGGGCCTAGTTTTCCAATAACTGTCGATATCGAGCTTAGATCGGATGGAGCCTTCACTAGTCAGGACCTCCTCCCATTTCTTCGCAAATCATGGGGTCAATAAAAAATCTCGTTCTGTTGAGATATCATCCGAGGCAGGTTTTTTTGGTAAAAAATTGAACCTACTTGTCTATATTCATGTATATGTTTCATTTTGGTCCCCGTATTTGGAGTTTCATTGACCGAGAGAATGATCTTTGCCACGGCAACTTGCAGTCACAACACTATGCAAATTGGTTTTCAGTAGATCTGTCTGCCAGTAAAATTTGGTAACATGTTGATGTGCCCTCGCGATTCGCCTTGAGCTCAAGGCACACGCTATTCGAAGGTGGATCCTGGCTGATACTATTGCAACTCGACATGATTGACCACGTTTATTCAGCTTGTTGAATTGTCATAAAAGATACATAAAAGGAGAATTTTTGCGTTTAAGAATTGTAAGTAGGTTCTCAGGCTTCAAAAGCCCAGGGGAACCACCCTGTTCATATTCCCATAGACATTAGCAGAGGAATTCGAAGTGCTCGATTTCAGCGACGCTAGAAGTAGTTAGATGTGCATTTAGACAGTGTCACTTTTTAATAGAAAAACTACATATGAAATGCATGATCTAATGACTCTTCTTACATAGTGCGGAGGATTACATGGCTCACATGTACTTAGACAAATGAATGGTTGTTACTGAGTTGGCATGTAATGAATGGCAGCTATATTAATCTGTCGGCAGGTTTCAGCTTGCTCAACACTGCAAGAACTTAACTTGGTATATTCGTAAGTCCGAAGAGCGGCTTCCAACTCTGCTTCTCTCCTAAAAACAATCTACACTTTTGGGAGTGAAATTAACTACAGGCTAATTGTGTATATTGGACAATTACTCCGGTCCTTAAGGATATAGCTAATGAAAGGATGTCTAATATGCCATTGCACGTCTTAACTGCATAGATATGGTTGGTTACTGTGACTAATAGCTAGTTGCTGTAGGGAAGAGTCTAAATGACTATCCTAAAGTACTCCATCTCAAAAACTTACTCAGAAGACTCTGCTGCTGCT